AGAAAAACAGAAAACCTCATCGGATACCAAATCAGGACTTATAAAACTATTTGTACAAAATGCAATTCATGTCGCAGCCTGAAAACAACACTAACTCTATATCGCTCTTAATCATTAATTACTGATGTGATCGTTTTACCATTTTAATACTTTTGGGACCACAGTAATTGGCTATCGCTGTTGTGGTTGCCTGCCCGTTATTTTTATTGCTATTTTATTTTATCCGGCTGTGTTATAGGTTATATGTATTGTTGGCAAAGCTAATAAAATAAAATAAAACAAAATAAATCCGAAAACCTATTAGTATATTTGACGAAAACTAAATGCTAAAGAAGGGAAAATCCGCAAACCGCCATGAACACAAAACCCGAAAAACCGAAGCTTTTGGGCACCAAAACCGAAAACCGATCTGAAAAATAACCAAAACCGCAAAGCGAAAATCCCAATGCCCCCCTCATAATAGCGTTCAGTCTGTTAGTCTCATCGTCTCTTGTTATTAGAAACTATGAATTAAGGGAAGAGCTACGAATGGATAAATAACCTGATCGTTAATTTCTGCTCCCATGTCAAGAATTGTTTCCACAAGTTGTTTGTTCCCACGCAAAGTCGCTACATGAAGAGCTGAAAATCCTGCAAAAGGAAAAAACCACCTTATTTCTTGGAAAAATACGACCTTGTTTGGTTTGGTAAAATCACGTTTAAGTTAACTCAAGATAATCTTGTTATTTTTTTTATTTACTTTTTATTCTTTACTTGCAATTATCTTCAGTTTTGCACGACAGTACGCTAACACCCCACAAACCGTTAGCTTTAATCAAAGCTTTTATTCGAGAATAATAAAAAATAAGGCAATTTAGCTTAAAATCCAGTATTAGCAAACGCTTAGACAGCCAGGAAATTTCTTCATTTATTGAAGAAAATAGAAACAGCTACACCACAACGCGCCAATTCCGTTCCGCTTCGCATACTTCTGTCATGCCCTCTCCGAAAAAAATATCCGCGAAATTCGCCCGCACTGAGATAATAATTTGGCGTTTTGGATAATAAATAACATATTAGACGTTTTGTTGTGTGGTGTCGCTGAGTATTTTTACTCGTTATTTGTATTTTGACACGCCCTACGGGCTCGTTAAAATACGGCACAACTCGTAAAAATACTCAGCGATATTACACAACAAAACGTCTGATAAGATATATTTATTCTTTAGCCGCTTGTGGCTCTTTGTGGTACTCTCTTCATGTGCTTACCTTGGAAATTTTTCAGATCCAGTCTGATTTGCAAGTGGCATCTATGTGTGACGTCACGGATAGCAAAGACAGAATTGATGTCACCATTCTGACAGGCCAAGTGAAGCGCGGTCTGTCCGTGCCTGTCCATCAAATTAACATCTGCCCCGCCCTCTACCAGCTTCTCAACCAGATATTTTTGATGAGTAATCACAGCAAGATGTAACGGCGTCTGAAAAAAAAAAAAAAGATAATAATCACAGCCTATCTATAACTTGCCACGTTGTAGTTGAAGGTCTTTTGCTGTTAGCAGCTCTTTCTGTTAGGGAAATTATATTTCCGTTTGAATACGTTAGTTTATCTTCTTGGGTTGAAAATATCGATCTTTCACCGCGACTCGTTCTCTTCGTACACTCGTGAGAGATATTGGGGAGTTACAGAAAACCATGACGGCAACGGCAATGGGAACGTCACTAAACAAAAGGTTTAATGAGCAGAACAATGACTGTGCACGTACGTTATAAATCTTTGTAAATTTCTTTGCGTCCTCTACGAAACAACAACGTGAAATGACCAAACTTCGCGTTGACAGGAGAACGTGAATGACTTCGGCTATTTTTCTTTTTTTTTTCTAATTCTAATTTAACGCTGAGTTCCATATTCAGTTTAGAGATAGTTTAGACAATGAGATTCGCCCGCACTGAAAAAACAATTTGACGTGTTGGATAATAAATCTATTCTTAGACGTTTTGTTGTGTAGTATCGCTGTATATTTACCACACTCGGTCAAAATAGCTTGATATGGCCTTGGTCTCTTATCTACTCGTTAAAAAGCTTAGTGAATATCACGCCATATTGACCTCAAAGTCAGTCAATATTACAAATATATATTAGGTTTACATGCAACGTGTCATGCACGCCGCCGTTATCGACAACAATCTATGAGGATGAAAGGGACTAAAGATGTAGTTCTTTCACACGCTCCCCCACTTTCCTTCCTACTCTTGTCAGGTTAATTTTTACAGCTTTCCGTCTCTTCTTCTAATCAAAGAACTACGTACTTGTCTAAGCTTGTTGAAAATGTCAACTCCTTTTAACTTCATTCTCTCGATGAAAAATTGACTCAGTGGTTGGTCACCCTGTACAACAGCAATGTGTAAGAACCTGTGGAGAACAGAGGAAAGAATCTTTTACACAAGCTCTCCCTTACGACAAGGTCGGTGAAAGATAAAAATAGAGTGTGAGTTCAAAAGATGCGAAAAGATACGATTCTACTTCCGCATGTCTTTTCACCTTGAGGGCATAATGAAATTGGGGCATGTCTTAAAAATAAGACCTGAACTTTTGCCCTCCCTTATCAAATATTTAATGTCGGCAGCTAGGACGATTTAGGTAAAGATCAAGAAAAATAGTTATAATTAATTTTTCATTCCATTGCTTTGTGAAGCTCTCCTTTGTCTTTAGTGTTAGAAACTCCAGATCTAATTTAAGACCGCCCATCTCGAAACCATACAAAACACACATTCTGAAGTTTGCATGGTTTACCGAGTGACCGAAGTCTTTATATCAGTAAAATTACGCAACCAAAGGCTAGATATACCATAACAATCTAACTGTTTTTGTACAATAGTGTTTCCCGTCCATCCATGAAGTGTTGAGGAGCAATTTCCTTATAGCAACCAATCAACTTTGTCTTCTAGAAACCAAAATAAATCAAAGGAAACCACTAAAACGTGTTTTCTTTGAGTGCGTCCTTCGGTTAATTTCACGATGTCTACCCGAGTATGAGGTATGTACGCTATTCTTAACTTCCGCGAGCTTGAATTAAAATGAAAACTAAAATGATACTTTTTGTGCGAGATATCGATTGATTTTTGGGTACATTTAAGACTTGAATGGTAAATCTTTCGTTTTATTTGCGAATCGCACTTTCTTACTCGGATCGAAACTACATTTCTTTTTTTGACGTATCTCTGTGTTTATAGAATTCTATCAAAGCGAAATGTGCTGACGTAAGCGTATTTTTTGAGTCATTCAGTGTCGACATTTACTAGTATAAGTTGTGGATTTCGAATGTTAAGCCAGAATAAAGTTGCCAAGGTGACTAGCACGTTATCGACACAAAGTGTCAGAGCACCTTCCGTATGGAATTTCGTTAAGGCGTAGAGTTTTTGACGGTTTTAATTTGAACATTCAAACCGAACATCAATTAATGCTGGATATCAAAATATTGCCAGGGATGTGTTGTGTTACTGGTACGGAATATGATGTGCTCTTTAGGACGTACACCAAATTGAAATGTCTAGGTATTCGAATGTCTAGAATCTAAGAGGCGTGTTTTAATGACTTTATATGGTATTTATTCCCTGGATAGCTGTTTTCAAACGTATCTCCTGTGAGGAGGCGTTTCTATCCGCAATATTGTTTCACGACGAGCTGTATCAGCTGAATGAAAAAGAAATTGAAATACAGACATTTTTTCGACTTACGTATCTCCATCGTCATCTTGGGCAAAGAGATCAGGCATGGGGGATGTTTCCGCCACAGTCCGTACACAATCGTTTGATTGCACCAAGGTATGTGGTGTAGTTGAAGTGGTATTTGGAAGTGACGAATCCGCGACCTCTCCCCTAACCACGGCTGACGTGGACAAACCAGACAAAACGGTTGAAGAAGAAGCTTTTACACCCACGATGTTTGCTTCATCGTGTTCAGTAGCCTCTTTTCTGGAATTATCTGTACTTCCCTGTATTCTTGGAATGTCGTCGGATAGGGATGGAGGTTTGTCGAGCTCCGAATCTGCTCCGACTCCACGAAGATCTGTCACGCAAGGTAGGATAGCAGCGAATGGTTTGTCTTCAACGACAATAAGGCGCCCTTTATCTGATGGATCTAAAACAGATTCTTTTTCCGTTGATACAGATCCATGCCGACGCTTTCGACTTTCTCCTAAGAGAATCGAAACATTTTAACACTTTCTAGTCATGATATTTGAAATATTTTCGATTTTTAGGATGACGTGCATTCCGACAAAGCAATTACTGTGAATTAAATTGCATAAAGAGCTTGTGGTCAAACTCAACTTACCCGACATGAGAACCCGTGTGAAATGTCCCTTGAATTCTCCAGACCAGCATTTCAATCTTTAGCCAAAGATTCTTTTTAAATTCTTGCTAAAAAGCTGGAAAAACATGTTTCATTAATTGACGAAGAGCCAAGCGAAACGCATGCAATCGGTGGGCAGACCTTGTGATGCAAATACTTTGGTTGTACGATTGTTGATTGGGCGATAATGAGGGGGTTTCCCCATGACCGAACTTTCCTTAAAGAAATCTCTGCCCAGGCCGCGTTCAACAACAGATATAATCTTCGGCGTATATGTTTGTTCTATATTGCCTTTGGCAGAATGGGGTGTAGTTTGATGGATCTTTGTGAACAGTTTCAGCAAGTCATCATCGCCATGTTTTGTAGCATAGTTTAGAGGCAAAGTCCATTCCTTGAAACATGTATATTTATTGCGTCAGGACCCTCAAAACGCTGTCTCAAATGAATTTCCGTTTGAATCGATGTCCTGGGTGTTTTAGCATACTTTGACTTTGTTTGATTAGCTTCAAGCAATGGCTTTTTTTTATTAAAATTTATAGATACGTTGTTACTCTTGTTGTTTCAGAGATCAAATCATCATTTCTACCATGACTACCATCCTTGTTGCTGGGATAATTTTTTTTATCGTCCATAAAAGAAGCACGAAAAGCTCTACAGAGCTAACACGACAATAATTTCAAATACGCAATGCACAGTCAAGAAGTTCTGTCCGCCAAGTGTATCGAACATTCTAGATATCGTATACATCGACACCATTTCGATTTGAGGTTATTTATTTTTAACTTTTTTTTGCTTAAGCAAAGTTACACTGTGGCGTGACTGTCACGCTTACAGTGTACTCTCTGCTCCCCAAAACGAGTCGAATAGAAAATGGCGCCCTAATCGTTACCTTTTTCTCGAGATTATATTGTTTGAAATCAAATCGGAAATGATCGGTAAGACTATTTTGTTAAATGGAAATTTTTTTATTTTTCAAATTTGTTGTACCAAGGATTTCGCACATTTCTAAAGCGAAACAAATCGCTTGTCGTACTATCACAGACTCGACATGTTTTATTCAGTTTATTCATAGTTAGTTTTATTGTCCTTTCATGTTGTCCGTCAAAGCCTCGCTAGGCAAGATCCTTGTTCATGATGAAATACGATTCGAAATACTATTCACAGAAATGTTTTTGTGGAGTTTAAATACTTAACAATTTTGTCACTCGTAAGACATTTCTTTGAATCGATATGCTTCGTTTTAGCCTCACACGTTAATAAGACTTAACATTTTGTTCCTTCACAAATGCAGGATTACTTTCAACGCGTTGGTTTACATGCAAAACGGCGATGATCAATTTACGAATTGCGTGATTATAGAAATGGAGAAGCAGAGTGAGATTTCTGTTATCAACTCACCTTGTAATACCATCAACTTCATCTACGAATTCACCGAAGCTGAGCCTCAACTAGTCACTAAGAATGAAGAAAGAAGCCGGCAAGAAGGAACTGGTAACCAGATTGTCCAGGTGGTCTTTCGTTCATCTCTGTTAGACGAGAAATCATCAAGAGAGGGGTCTGGATCCCCGAGTAGTGATATTGTTACACATCAAACAAAATCAAGCAATGTTGTTGGAAAAATAAACGATTTTTGGTTGGAAGAAATTCTCAAGAATCAAGTTCAATAGAAGCATCAATTTTTAATGCAGATCAGCCATCAACTACAATTCCACCTCAGGCATTGATTTCAAATTAAAAAAAACATAAGTACTGAGTATGCTTCATTCATCAACATCAAATTCACTTCCAAAAGCAACTTTAAGTAGAAACCTCACACCATCAACAACAACAACAATGAGTTTTCCAGACGGTGTAGTGGTAGCAAGACCTCAAAACTTCCAAATTCAAAGGGGAGATAATTGTAGAAAAAAAGTTTCTGAAAAGAGACAGCCAAGAGAACCTACTGTAATAAAAACTGTACCAAATAATCAACAATCAACAATGGAGTTTCCAAATGGTGTAGTGGTAGCAAGACCTCCGACCTTCCAAATTCAAAGGCAGGATATTTGTGAAGAGAAAATATCTTACAAGAGACAGCCAAGAGAACCTGCTGTCGTAAAAACTGTCCCAAATAATCAACAATCAACAGTGAATTTTCCAAATGGCATAGTGGTAGCAAGACCTCTTAACTTCCAAATTCAAAGGCAAGATATTTGTGAAGAGAAAATATCTTACAAGAGACAGCCGAGAGAACCTGCTGAAGTAAAAACTGTCCCAAATAATCAACAATCAAGGGTGAATTTTCCAAATGGCATAGTGGTAGCAAAACCTCTAAACTTTCAAATTCAAAGGCAAGATATTTGCGAAGGTAAAATTTCTTACAAGAGACAGCCAAGAATTCTTACCGTAGTAAAAACTGTCCCAAATAATCAACAATCAGTAATGAATTTTCCAAATGGTACAGTAGTTGCAAGACCTCTAAACTTCCAAATTCAAAGGCAAGATATTTGTGAAAAGAAAATTTCTGACAAGAGACAGCCAAGAGAACCTACTGTTAAAACTGTCCCAAATAATCAACAATCAACAATGAATTTTCCAAATGGCATACTGGTAGCAAGACCTCTAAACTTCCAAATTAAAAGGCAAGATATTGTGAAGAGAAAATATCTTACAAGAGACAGCTGAGAGAACCTGCTGAAGTAAAAACTGTCCCAAATAATCAACAATCAAGAGTGAATTTTCCAAATGGCATAGTAGCAAGACCTCTTAACTTCCAAATTCAAAGGCAAGATATTTATGAAGGTAAAATTTCTTACAAGAGACAGCCAAGAGAACCTACTTTAGTAAAAACTGTCCCAAATAATCAACAATCAGTAATGAATTTTCCAAATGGCACAGTGGTAGCAAGACCTCTAAACTTCCAAATTCAAAGGCAAGATATTTGTGAAGAGAAAATTTCTGACAAGAGACAGTCAAGAGAACCTACTGTAGTAAAAACTGTACCAAATAATCAATAATAAATTTTCCAAATGGTGTAGTGGTAGCAAGACCTCTAAACTTCCAAATTCAAAGGCAAGATATTTGTGAAGGTAAAATTTCTTACAAGAGACAGCCAAGAGAACCGATTGTGATAAAAACTGTCCCAAATAATACAATAACCGTGAAACCTTTGTTTGTGAAGAGAACATTTCCAAAAAGAGACAGCGACAAGGACCAGTGGAGGCAAAAACAGTTGCAAGCAGCAACAGCCATGAAACCATTGAAGCCACAAGTAGCCAGTGCAGTCAGATGGCCAGTTCAACGAAACTGGCTCTTTTGAACTTTTTTGAAAAAGAAATCCCCAAGTAGTAGTGTAGTGGAAGATGTCGAAAATGAAAGAATTTATTCTGATCCTGGGGAACAAACTGTTTCAGCTGTTCGAAAAGAGAGAAGTGATTTTGAAAGAGAAGGATCTTGCTCTGATAAGATGCACAATAGGCCATTTTACAGTTGTGTACTTAGTTGCCAAGCCTTTGATTCAGCGTGAGGCTGAAGGTGACCTTATTGTGATAGAGACCTGTATCTAGTTAGCATGATAACAAAGTGATTTACATTTGAAAGGCAGCAAGGTTTGTATCATAACAAGGTCAACCCTAGCCTCACTCCCATTCAAAGGCCTGGCAACCAAGCACACAACTGTAAAATGGACTATTGCGAGAATGAAGAGGAACAGATATCCATTGGTACAATTCACCAAGAAATAGTTTCCACTGTGGAATTCAGTAACACAAACCTTGCACAAGATGATTAGAATGCCGATAAGACGCCACGTGAACAGGGTAGTTGGATTGAAGCACAAAGTGACGGTGCTAATCAGTTAGACGTTGTGATATTGAATGCAGAAAATAATGAAGCATGTGGGGAAGAGGACAGCAATGCTCAATTTTTACCAAAAGGTTAGAACTTTATTGATGTACTATTCAGTTGATAGGTCTGTTACTTGTTCTGATGCTATGCTGATTTGACCCCAACCCCAGTCCCATACATGAATTTTCAACCTCTCCAAGAGGGTTTTCAGGGGGGGAGGGGGAGTGTTTGATAGTCTGCTATCCCCCCCCCCCACACACACACACACACAAACACACACACACACACACACACACACACACACACACACATGCATGCGCAAACAATACCAGACATACTTACTTTAAACATGTGCCCCTGGTAAAGGAAAAGGTTTGTGGCAAAAGGCAATTTTGTGCCATGTACTCAGGTGGCCTTGGATAGGCCAAGCTACGCATGTTTCAATTTATAAGGGGCCGACCATTAAACTCTTGAGGGGGGGTGGGTGATTTTGAAAAAAAATTTCCTGCAAGCGCTTGTTGGAAGAAAAAAATTGCATGCAGCCCAAATGTAACAGAAGAAAAAGGGCATTTTGAATGGAAAAAAATATCCTGCACAGCAGATTGCAAGAAAAAAAAGTTCTTGATGACCAGAAATCACCCATTCCCCCCCTCAAAAGTTAAATGGTCGGCCCCTAAGCTTTAATTTCATCTTTTAGAGGTAGATGACACTACTACTGATGTAGTGCTCTGTGTGGAATCAGCTTCTGTTATTCAGGAAATAGATGTTGTGGTCCATCCATCTATTCTGCAACCAACAGAAAAGAGTAAAAATATCAAGAAAATAGGGAAACAACAAGGAGTAGGTAACTTACAATATATTTGTTTACCGGTTGCAAGGATGGGACTTTGTACGGCTCCTTTTAGTGGTTGTAAAGGAATGTTAGAAAATAATGAACTGATCAATGGGGTTTCTGGAATTTCTGTAGAAAAAGAGAGTTTTCTGAAGCAATAAGTTTGTTTTTATGCCTAGAGACTTCTCAAATTTACATAGTTTATTTTTGCCGGTTTCTCTGCAGAATTTTTGTCTTGTATCCCAGAACCCCTTAGCTCCCATGAGTGACCAACACAGATTTTCTCCTAACATTGGCAATACAATATCAAGCAGACAAGTGGTGAGAATTAAGAAAAAAGATCAACAAGGGGATTATTATAAGATCTAATACCAAATTCTCCTGAATAACATTGTGAGAATTGTATCACAGATGGGAAGGAGAATTTCTGATGAAATCTTGGAGGTAAAAGGTGAAGAATCACCACCAGTCGTACTTATCAGTTATCTGAGCGGGATGTTACAATCTTGTAAAATAATTCCAGATTTGTGTGATGGTGTGCAATCACTATTCAATTTGATTAACTTCACAGGCGTCGAAAAAAGGAGGAAGAGCAAACCTCGGGAGTGCAAAGAATGTGGAAAAATTCTGGCATCAACTACAACATACCTGGAACACATGAATATACACTATGATCGAAGACCATACAAGTGCGGTGAATGCAGCAAGTCTTTTCGCCAGCGATACCACATTGATCAGCATAAAATTGTCCATACAGGGAATAAACCCTTTGTTTGTCAATGACTGCGATAGAGCTTTCGCCAAGAGCTACAACCTGAGAGATCACCAACGAATCCATACAGGAGAAAAGCCGTGCAAGTGTGGTCATTGCGACAAGACGTTTCGTCTTCGACGCGGTTTGAGAGAACATGAAACAAATGTACTCCGTCTTCTTTCGCCGCGTAATGAGCTTGGGACACTGAAAGAGATAAAGGTTTATTCATGTAAGATTTGTGTCAAGACGTAAGTAAGTAAGTAAGTAAGTAAGTAATTTATTTATCCACATTTCACAATTGAGTATAACTCGTTTTAACGTGAACGTGCCAGGTTAAAATAATATCTATAACAAGCTAGACAATGATGATAATAATAGCAATAAAAAGGAACTATAAAATCATATGGAAATCATGATGCATATATAGGAAATAAATAGGAATCAATAAGACTAAGAGGGAACAAGCTAGGGATAAAATAAACTATGTACAAAAGTTGCATTCACACTCCACACTGGTAGTCAAGTTGACCTCGTCCAGCATTGATTTAAAAATATTAAGAGAAGGAGCTCTTCTTGCATAGTCAGGTAGATTATTCCATAATCTTGTAGTGACGTATTGATATGACCTATGCATGAATCTGCTAGAATAAGTAGGCTGATCAAGCTTGCAGAAGCCTGTGAGGTCATATTTATTATTATGAAATAAAAACATCTCCCTAATGTTATTCGGCCCCATGTTCTATAAGCATTTATAAAAAAGGCAGAGACCTATCATATAGATAAGAACGAATAAGGTTCACTGCGCTTTCTACCCATAAGGAAAGTCATTCTGCTATCGCACGATATAAATGTCCAAAATGCAAGAAAGGTTTTAAGGATAACAGTTTATTGTAGAATCACGTGAAAACCCATTCGAAGGAGAGAGAAGCCATTTGAGTGTGATATTTGTGGGCAAAGGTTGAAACAGCGAGGAAATCTTAATCGACACATTTTGACCCAACATGAACCAGAAGAGGCCGAAGAATGTCTGAAAACCAGCAAAGAGATCGAATACCTCCGTCCGAAGAAAACTGGCTGAAGTAATTTGGTCAGAGTTCGTCCTATTTAGACGGCATACATTTATAATTATTCTTATTAGTTATGCTTGGAGGAAGCCAGATCTGTCCAGTAAGAATGTTACTTTGATGAAATATTTAAAAAGGATTTGTCAGAGCTGATTGCATTTAACAAAGTTTTTGGAAAGAAGCCACTTCTAGTTATCTGTGTTTAAGACGTTTATGCCATGAAATCACTATAAACAAGGATCTATTCTAGCGTTTGTTCTGAATTGTAATCTTTCACAATTTGTGCCAATTTGAACGCTTTCGAAAACTGAAGAAGGATATAATCCTTTGAAAAATGGCATTTGTGTGTCGCATGACGCGAGCAAACTGACTTTTTTTTTTTACTTTAAGTTATTTTCGCCCAAACAATAAAAGAAAAATCAAAATGACAAAAGTGAGAAAATTTTGGGTTTGCCGAGGGAAAATCAAGAACACGTTTGCTTTCGCATGTTTTAATGCTGCGATTAATTATCGCATCTTCTTTTCACTTGATTGACAATAAAAGTTGGGGTTAAAAAATATCTTTTTTTATACTTGGTCACGACGCAACGCTAACCCTCTTACAGTAGATTTGTAAAGGGTAAAGGTAAAGGTCTTTATTTTTCTAAACAACATACGTGTTTAGTTACAATTTTTTAAGGTTGAAATCA